TATATATATATTTATTTTCGTATATTTAAAGAATATTTAAAGAGAATAAGAGATATATTTGATGAAGATATATTCAAAGAATATTTTGGTATCACATTACTGAGAATTTGATAAACTTTTTTTTTTAAACACGTATACATGTTTATAAAAAAATTTGAAATTTTTTATTATCTTATTTAACCCATTTGCATCATAAGCGCATATATGCGCGCATTTTACTTTGGCATTTATCACCAAAGCGCATATTATTTATACCAGAAAAATACCCAAATTCTTTATTTATGCAATATTGATTTTATTTTTCATATTTTGTAACATTTTCATTAAAATTTAAATACAGTAAAAAAAATTTTGGTGATAAGAACGAATTTTTTTGACTTTTCTTTGTGATGCAAATGGGTTAAAGAACTTAAATATATGTAACTTTTTTTGAAATTATTATCTTTTTTTTTTTTTATGTTTATAAATTTTGATTTACATTTCAGTAAATCCGGGCGGATGGGCTCCAGCGTCCGTTTTGCGAGCCGTTTACAAAAGGGAGTATCCAAAGTTCCTTAAGCGTTTCACCAATTTTTGTATCGATCAGTGCAAAACCAAGCCAATCACATTCTGAATATGATTAACAAAAAAAAAAAACATTTTAATGTTTTCCATCCAATTCCTTATTCATTATCTCAAAGTGTCTTCACGTAATTATTGTAAAAAAAAAAAAAAATAATAATTTGTATTGTTACATACTGTAGCAAGTTGTAGAAAAAAAAAAAAAAAAAAATTACGGCTAGTAGAATGTGAGCGAAGAAGGAAACTGTTTTTTTGTATATTATCTTTTTCCATTTTTATTTGCGCAAGATAGTCCGCGACACACGATGCTTTTTTCTCACACTAGATGATCGCATGAGCGCCAAGAACTGATCACAATTGTGATTTGTGGATTTGAACAAAATTGTCAAATTGTTTGCAACGCTCATATATATATATGATTCAGCAGAAAAAAGCATTATGTGTCAGGCTTAATTGATTTATATAAAGCTTGCGAATAAATGCGTTTATATTGAAGATTATTTGCGGCACACAAATAAGTGTATAGCGATCCTATACATAATTGAATGGATAAGTAACTTTGTAATGCAATGAAAAGCACGCGTGTGACTATATATATACATATATATAGCACCGTTTATAATTATTCTTCCCTCTTTGTACAACAATCTGTTTGTTATACAGGACGCTATCGCAAAAAAAAAAAAAACCCAGTTGTACAAATCTTCAACAAAAAATATTGAATACATATACAATTATCTCTTGTTATATATGCTATATTCAATGCTGAACTTGTATGATACAGATTATACTGTTATTTTTATCTATACATAAAGCTGTGTACATTGACTATGCAATATAAAGGTCACGTGGAAAAAAATTAATAAAGACTGTTGTAGATTTATTATAAAATTAACTATTAGTTTTCTGCTTTTTTAATTACTTTTTAATCCTACAATAAGAATTTTTTTTTATATACAGAGTCATTTATCATTTCATGAAACAAATTTATTTTTATTCACTCAAGTTGTGAAGTGTAAAAAAATTAATTTAAACATATATAACAAATGTTCTTTTTTAGAAATAGTTTTAGTTTATTTGTCATTATTATCATGTGATATTTTGAAAACAATATTCTTAAAGTAATAATTTTTTGATGAAAATGTAATATTTAAGACACTTTTGTGCAATAAATGTGCGAGCAAACTATCCAATTTTTAAAGAAGCTTAAGTGTTTTGTGATCAAAAATAACAGAATAAAAATAAAAAATAAATGTAAAAAATCTCGTTTATGTATAATATATTTCATAACAAAGTATTGAACTAACGCCATATTTTAATATATCTCTCACATGTTATATAAAAAATACTATGTAATTTAATATAATTTATACTAGTTGAAACTAAACGCTTGCAAATTCTTATATAACATGCAGTAAATAATATTTATGTACACTTCTTATAAAACTGATTTTTTAAACACAATGAAAAGTAAACATTTATCAATGTTAAACTTTTTTTTCTATTGTAAAATACTTTGCACTGCGATTGTAAAAAAAAATTGAACTTTTATCTGTTTTTGGTTTCAGTTTTATGTCATAGTACTTGACTGTGTACTTCACTAGTATAATAAGAAAAAGAGATGTTAATATTACATATTTACAAATCTGCTTATTTAAACATTTTAATCAACAACAGATTCTAATGATTGTTCTCTTACGTTATATATATATATATATGTACGTACACAGGGCCCGAAAAATTTTGACCAAACCAAAGTATGTGTAAATTGGATTAGTCTGATCCGAAAAGTCATGTATCATTTTGAAAATTTGCAATAGTTATTGAGTGATTAATTAACACATGTGATCCAATAAGCGCGATCCGAAAACCGATGGTTTCCGGACTCCGCGAGTAATAATCTACTTTCACATTTCGACTTAGTCAAAATTTTTCAGACACCTTGTGTCTTTGAAATATATATTTCACAACATGTAATGAGTGTAAAATAACGATTGAGTCAAGTGCTGAGTTTGCTTACGAGCTGTATTATCATAATGAAAAGATAGTTTTACACTGAGTGAGATTGTTTTTTTTTTTTTTTACACTTTTAATGGGATATTTACACTTTCTACGAAAAAATTTGATAAAATACAAACAAAAAAAAGGAATGAGCTTCTTTGCTATAAGTATCATGTAATTAAAATTAAAAATTCTTACTGAAATTATTTTAAAATTAAAAGAAAAAAAAACACGTTAATCGATACCATTATGATATTACCTGAGAGTTATAAATACACTGAAAATGCAATATTGTTTCGTTCAAGTCCGATACTATACATATCTTAACTCGATAATATGAAAAATGTTAAATGAATTTTTTCTATTATTATTGTTTACTAATATTTTTTGCTGTGCATATATTCAACGTTTTTTTTTTTAACAACGTAGTATTTTGTAAAATCTTTTTCCTATCATAGTTGTGTGAAATTATTTATTTATGTTTACGAAAACAATGTATTAAAAGTTTTTTAATATTATTACAACTAGGAAGTCTTTTAAAATGTTTCGGTTTTTTTTTTTTATACAATTATACAACAAATTGTTTGCGTAAATCCTACTGCGTAAGAGCAATTCTCAAGAACAATGTTTTTTTTTTTTTTGTTTTAGGTATAAAAACACTTGATTGCCAGTTAAAAACCTTGTAACCTACGTTACGACGACTTCCCGTATGATTCTTTGTGATAAGAGCCTAATTTCTTTAGCACACTGAGACCTTTCTCCTCGTACTCTTCTCGCGTTATCCACATGGAATCTCGGTCTTTTGTTATCTCCGCTAACACAGCACCACCCATAAAGACCATATCTTTACGTCGAGGTGAGTCCTCAATTTTTATTTTAAATTTCTATAAAAAATAATAATTTTATACAAATAAATATTTGCAATGCGAGCGTACTGTTTTAGTATAATAAATTTTTATAAAATATGCAAAGTGCGTACTTACATTTAATTTCGTGGTATCGTTCTTTAATACTCTTTGAAGATAGAGTTGCTTGATTTCTCGTTCTAATCTTGACGGAAGACCTGGATACATTGTACTACCTCCGCTCAAGACTATGTGCTTGTACAGCTCGGTTCTTATATCGATATCGGCCGCTTGAATTGTGCTAAACACCAGTTCGGCTATACCTTGCGCTTCGACGTTAATTAAATGCGGTTGGAAAAGAGCTTCCGGTGCTGCAAATCTCTCACCGCCAACTTTTATTACACGCCCGTCGGGAAGCTTGAAAATATAAAGCGATTCTCAGTATACGACACGCGCGCGAGCGTTACAAATATTTTATAATTTTACTAACATACATCGTCACAAACATATTAATAATTTGTAAAATTAAAAAAATCGAATATTCTACTCACGGTATAAGATTCCACCAACACAGTGGTTTCAAGAGCCAACTTTTCTTCCGTCTCTATGTTGTAACCAATGTAACACAATTTTTCTTTTAACATTCTAACAGTTTCGAAATCAGCTGAATGGTTAAACGCATAACCGCGCAGCAGCAGCAATTTAATTAAATACATAGTAATATCGCGTCCTGCTATATCTAACCGTCTAGTTAAATGTGGCAGAGCGTATTCCTCAAATACGGGACAAATATGCGTGACACCATCGCCGGAGTCTACGACGACACCACTTATTAAACCTTGAGCATATAGCGTCAGTACTGCTTGAATCGCGATGTACGTTCCAGCAAACCCATATTTTTCAAACATCACCTGAAAAATCATATAATCTCATGATTATCCAATTTCTTTGATCACGCAAGTTTTTCAATTTTTGTTTGCACGTGTTACAAAATATACCTCAATCATTTTCTCTCTATTTGTAATAGGATTCATCGGTGGTTCAGTTAATAAAATTTTACATTCCCTAGGATTAATGTTCATCTTCTCCTTACCAAATGTGTAATCCCACACGTGACACATATCTTCCCAATTTCTGTCAACCATGTCAAGCATTGATAACACAACATCTCAATATTAGAGAGAGATAAGTCTTTTACACATGGATATAAGGTGTATACATACCTAACAATTCCATTTTGCATGGGATAACTTATTTCTAACATAGAACGAAGTTTACTCGCTTCATCGCCGACCATTAAGTCCTGTAGTAATGATGTGATTATTAAAATTCTGTATATTATATTATATACTGTGTATATATACTTGATATATACAGTATATATATATATATATAAAGAAATTATTACTTTTTTTAGTTTACATATATCACGACAAAATAATTTACTAGGACAGCATAGAAAGTCTAATTTGATGCTGACTAGCAAACTGTGTGTGTGTGTGTACACCCTAGATATATTTTATATCAATAATTATTCAATTTACATGTATGATAAAAAGAAAGTTTAAATATTTTTGTGAGGAGTATTTGACAAAAAATTCAAATTTGAATATTATCACACAGTAAGTTAGTTTTGAAATATGTATGTACGTCCAACAATTTTGGAAAAAAATTCTGTCTGCGTTTATTAGATATACTACTGCTATATATATAATCTAAAGAGAAATGCTTTTTTATTTAAGAATTATTGAAGAATAATAGATATATATGTATATATAGTATTATAACAATGTAAACAATAAACTTACAGGCATGTTAAGCACATCCTATGAGAGCAAATGTAAGCACACAAATACATTAGATAATTATAAGAGCAATATATATGTAAGTATTCACTCCAGTAAAAAAAACTGCGGAATCATATGAAAGATTTACAAGTATATAACTATGTAAAATAAAAGCAAACATTACATTTTAGTGAAATACAAGTTCAATATGTGTATTTTATAAAATTTCTAAAAGATCTGTTTCTTATATGAAAAAAAACATATATATAAATTGCTTTTTTATGTGTAACAAAAAATTACAAAAAATATTACATTGAAAAAGTTGTGTACTATATATTAAATTTATACAAATTTATTATATATTAAAAATTATTATGAGAATAATGTTCGGATATTATATTTCAAATGTATATACCTTCTTGGAACTTGTTAACAAACATTAGTATTTCAAACTCGCTTTTATTTATATCAGTAGAACAGCGTGGATTATTTTCAATCTGATTCAAGCATTAGGAAAGGGAGAGACAAGGAAGAGATACACACGATGTAATATTATATAGTGAACTTACACGAATGCAATATTCTTGCTGAAAATACAATTTGTTCTTATTAATATCAATCAAGTTCCACGAAATATATATTTTTTAACAATTTTAAGGATTTATACATATCAAATTTAAATTACTAAATTAATTACAATCAAATATCAAACCGTACATTTAATTGTAAAAAAAAAAAAAAAGAACATATTGTTTCAAATGCTCGTCAATTATCATTTTTATGATCGTTACCAATTAAAAACCTAGAGAAAAATTAAATTAAGAAGAGAAAAAAAATATTATCAATCAATCGCTCGTGAAAAGTTAAAAATAATTAAAAGGCCGATACGAGCAGTAAATACAGGATGTTCGTGTATAAATATAATAGTATAATAATATTATAAATATAATATTTATAAATATATATAATAGAGTATAAAACAATATAAGTCTTTATTCCAAAAACACATACGTTTCGGTCCTCAAGTTTGGACCTTCTTCAGTGTAATAAACATTCAATTAAAAAACAAATTAGATCACAACATCACTAAAATATAAAGTAAATGATGACAACGAATTACAAATACTGTGTACTGACCACAGTACTTCGTCAGTACACAGTATTTGTAATTCGTTGTCATACACGATTGACATCATTTACTTTATATTTTAGTGATGTTGTGATCTAATTTTAATTTTTTTAAATTGAATGTTTATTACACTGAAGAAGGTCCAAACTTGAGGACCGAAACGTATGTGTTTTTTGGAATAAAGACTTATATATTTATACACGAACATCCTGTTATTTACTGCTCGCGTATTGGCCTTTTAATTATTTTTAAAAAATATTATTTCAGCAAACTGTGTTATCAACGCTATCACGTATTTACGCCTGGAAACGAAATTGCGTTTATTTGATCCTACACCTTGACTTCGATGAGTATGAATTTTTAAGTAAAAAAAATGAGCGTGTACCTTCACATCGATATCACCAATCTTATTGACAGCTCTGATAATGGGTCGTCCTACTATGGATGGAAATATATAGGCCGGAAAATTCGCACCGGCGTATCCGCACTTGACAAACTGCAATTGAAAAACTGTCTAGCTCTGTATGACTTTTTTTTTTTGTTTTTAGCAGCAGATTCTTCCGCGTTATGTATGTAAATTTTTTTTTTTTTTTTGCAGAGAGAAAAAGCGAGCCTTACTCCGGTTCCATTGTCGCAGACAATGATCTTTCTCCCTTTGCTGTCCATCTCTCGGCGCAAAATATTCCGTCTGAACAGTATCTTCCTTGTTTCTGATTTTTTGTTTTTTTTTTTTTTTTTAGATCGTTCTCATATCATCAGCTCCATTAAATGACTAATATCTGCGGATGTTAGGGCGTTTACCGGTATGTAATGACATCAAAGTGACAAGAGAGCGTGCGATACTCAAACGAAGTTACCGTACGTATCACAGTTTGGAGGATTTTTTTTTTGTGTGCCAAGTGCGTCGTGTGTGCGAGAATCCGCGAAAATTGAGAGAAAAAAATTGTCGCGTGCGCAAAAACGTGTGAATTTACTCAAAACGCACACGACGGTCGACGGACAGCGAGCGAACGTTTCCGAGTAAACTCGAACCGAGAGCTGCCGTCATCGTTGTACGAAGAGCACGAGAGAGCGACGAAAAAAAAAGAGCCCTCTGACTGTGACTTTGTGAGGAATCGATTGTCAACTCGCGCAAATCGATCGACCAATAGGATTGACGCCAATTTCGCGAGATCTGCTGCTGCAACCGTTGCGGCACGTGTGAACCCGGCTTTAAGCAACCACGGAGCTTCAGGGGTACGTTCCAAAATCCTACCTTGGTTACTAAAATGCTATATTTCACGTCACGTGTACTATAGTTTTTGGTAACCAAAGTAGGATTTTGGAACATACCCCAGGCAGGGCCCTGTGTTCGGTTACGTTCCAAAATCCTACCTTGATAACCAAAAACTATAGTACACGTGACGTAAAATATAGCATTTTAGTAACCAAGGTAGGATTTTGGAACGTAACCCTGGCAGTACTGAAAAATCTATAGATTCGTGTCACGTGTACTATAGATTTTTCAGTAAAAAACGAACGCAGCCCAGCTCGCACCTGATTTTTTGACATGTCACGTGTACAGCGCGTACTGTTTCGTTTGACAATTTAGCAGCTTGTTGATCGTCTCGAAGTGTGATGTGCACGCGCGCATATGTAAAATAAAGTAAATATTACAACAAATAAATATATAACAATTGAACAAGCTCGTGAGATGATAAAACGGGATGTTTAGGCGGATGCGAATTAAAACACAAGATCGTTCGCGTGATTATTGAATACTAAAAAAATTTATAATCGTGTTTATCTTCATCAGTGTATAAACAAAATTAAACAAAATTAATTAATTTTTATATTATACATTTTTGTTTTGTTAACATCTCTTGTGTTTTGGCTTGCTTTTACCCAAACATCTTGTAAATATATATATATATATATATATACATAAATATATTTATATATATATATATATAAATAATTTTACTTTAAATAATAGCTTAATGTTGACAGAAATTATTATTACTCTAATCTTAAAAATATAAAGGTGTTGTTAATGGCTGTTGAAGCGAACACAGATGATGGTGTGTATGTTGTTGAATGAGTTTTTATTGAAAGTAAAGCTTTGTATCAGGTCTTTTTCAATATGATTACTACAAAATTTGAAAGATTTTACAGAACAGAAATTTCATTATATAAAAAAAAACTGTGATAACAAGTTGATTAAAAACTTACAAAATAATACAGTAATGGTCATCGCAACGTGTCGCCTAGAGTGTTCAATATCGCAGGAACAGGACCCGACGATCAGGAACAGGACCATTACTGTATTATTTTGTAAGTTTTTAATCAACTTGTTATCACAGTTTTTTTCTATATAATGAAATTTCTGTTCTGTAAAATCTTTCAAATTTTGTAGTAATCGTATTGAAAAAGACCTGATACAAAGGTCGAAAGCTTTACTTTCAATAAAAACTCATTCAACAACATACACACCGTCATCTGTGTTCGCTTCAACAGCCATTAACAACACCTTTATATTTTTAAAAAAATCTTGGAGCTATAACTACACGCATTATTATTTACTCTAATCTTGTAATATATTAAAATAATAATTTAATATTTTTTTTTAATCTAGATATTTGTTTCTGATATATTACTCGAGAAATGAATCAACCACATTGTAAAAAAACACCGATTGCTTATTTAACGCGAAAAGAACAAATATCTTGCTGCCATTGCTTGAACAGGTACTTTCTTGAATTAACTATGAAAAAAAATAATGTAGAGATCAAAACTACAAAAGATAATTAATTTATTTGAAATTTTAATGCTTTTATTTTTTTAGTCCTTTTCTGAGCGAGCAAGAAAACAAGCAAATTTATGGAAAATGCAACAATGTTTTTGGACACGGACACAATTATACAGTCGAAGTAACCGTTCGCGGACCTATAGATCCATCAACGGGAATGGTTATGAACCTGACAAATTTGAAAAGATATATGCAAGAAGCGGTACTTGATAGGTTTGATCATAAAAACATAGACAAGCAAGTGGATTATTTTGCAAACACAGTATCAACAACAGAAAATATTGCTGTTTATATCTTTGAAGAACTCAAAAAACTCATGCCCAATCCGGAATTGTTATACGAGGTGAAAATTCACGAAACCGACAAAAATGTTATGTGTTTTAGAGGAGAATATGAAGAAAATGTGTCTCCCAATTCTTAATTAAGTTTAAGAATATGTTAAAAACTTATGAAAATTTTTCTAGTTTCATATACATACACGTATGTATAAAGAATATTTTTATTTATATACAAATATACAAATTTTTGTGTGTATACACACATTTATTTGTATTCAAGTTGATTAGTATGTTATAACAATTTGGACTTTTCGAGATTTTTACAATTTTATTTAATTACAGTTACAGTTACAATTTATTTGTGATTAGATTGAATATTAAAAGTAACATTAGTTTAAATTTTTTTATTGCACAAATATATGGTAATGCGAATTATTTTCAGTACATCAGGTTTTAAGTACGCTCTTATATTTTTACACATGTTGCAATACATAAAATATAAAATGCACTTTTACACGTTGTTTTATAGTATGATTTACATGTAGTTGCAAAATAGTTCTTTTATATAAGAATTAACAAGAATACGTATCACAATGTCATATGATAATTTTATAAACATTCCTAATTCGTTAATATGTACAATTAACATTTCCGAGTTTTGTATTTTACAGAGCTACACGTATCGTTTATTACATAAAATTAAATATCTTCACAAATCTACACGCACCACTTTTTGTAGAGATCTGTTTCTCAGATTTTTAGGCTGAAATATCTTAGTATATATATAAGTACCTTGGTATTTAATATCACTAGAGAGAAAAAATCATCACCGAGTAAAATATTTTTTCTTTTATGTATATTACATAAATTTGTCTATTAATTAACATTAGCTTTACAATTTCAGTCAGGTCATCAAATAAACGATGTTTTTTCTGAGATATTGCAACATAATCACTAGGGATACAATTTTTCGTACAAAAAAAAATGTCTTTTTTGTATTCATAGAATTAATATCGACTCTACCGCATAATTGACTCAGGTCCTGCGCGCAATAGAGAAAATATTAAAAATAAATTTATTAAATATTAAGAAAAGGAATTTGTGAAATAATGTTACATCAAACAAGAAAACGGAATAGATTGATTATTCCAAATTCTTATTTTTTAATTTATGATGCGTTAATTTATTACATTGTTTTGTAAAGAAAGAATTCTAATTCCTTAGGGCCTGAGCGCAATAGAGAAAATATTAGGAATAAGAATTAAAAACAGAGGTTAAACGTAATACACACAATGCGAAAAAATAAAATATAACGTATAAATGTATATAACTAATAGGCTGTATATTATGGAGCCATGACAAATACTTCCTGTATTTATATGTTATATTTTATTTTTTGTCATTGTAAAGGGTAAAACACCCAATTACTGTCATCTGAATAATAAACTCTGGCGTTAGTGAATTGTTTTTACTACTTATTTATCAAAAACATGTGTTTTTCTTCTTATCTGATATCATTCGACGTCTCTAATATAAGGAACAAAATAATACCGTCTCTCAAAATCTCTGTTTTTATTTATAAATGTAATAATTAAAAAAGAACGATGCGAGAGCTATCACTGTCACCCCTAAAATGAAAGAAATGAGACGCGAATGTTGAGTGCTGGATTTTTCGTTATATTAATTGCACTTAAAATTCTATGTTAGATTGTTTTCATGCATAACTTTTTAGGATTTAATCAATCAATCGCTCGTGAAGGGTTCAAAGTAATTAAAAAGGCCGATACGAGCAGTACATACAGGATGATCGTGTATAAAATAGAATTCTTTATTCAAAAAACAGACGTTTCGACATCCACAAGTTTGGACCTTCTTCAGTGTAATGTGTTACATTAAATTAAAACAAACTAATAATTCACAACATGAAACAGTATTCAAACAGTACACAGTTTTGTATTTCACTCGATTGACATCACTTGATTGTATTGTGGTGATGTTGTGAATTATTAGTTTGTTTTAATTTAATGTAACACATTACACTGAAGAAGGTCCAAACTTGTGGATCGAAACGTCTGTTTTTTGAATAAAAGAATTCTATTTTATACACGATCATCCTATATGTACTGCTCGTATCGGCCTTTTTAATTACTTTTTTAGGATTTATTTAATATTTTAAATAAAATAGCTTAGAGTGACAGTAATTGGACAGGTGACAGTAATGGGATCTTTTATCCTATAGTACATTTAACTTCCATTTCTAATTCTTATTCCTAATATTTTCTCTATTGCGCTCAGGCCCTTATTTCTTCCAAGTCCCAATATTTTCTATCTATTGTGCGCAAGGCCTTAAGGTCTAAAGCTCCAATAGAGAAAATATTATATACAGGAATAGAAATTTTAAAAACAAAGGTTAAATGTAATGCACAATGCGAAAAAATAAAATATAACATATAAATGTATATAAATATAGGCTGTATATTATGGAGCCATGACAAATACTTCCTGTATTCATATGTTATATTTTATTTCTTGTCATTGTATAGCACATTTAACTCCTCTATTTCTAATTCTTATTCCTAATATTTTCTCTATCTTGTGCTCAGACCTTTAAATGTAAAAATAACTCAGATATTGCACATAACGATATATAGTAATTACAGTCTTTGATAATTGCAGAGCGTTAGCCAAGATACAGCTATATATCTGAGGCAATGTGTTTCGAATTGTAATCTAACTTCATGTAGCTTCGAATAGTCACATACGGTATACCGAGTTCAAAATCGTCCTTGGGCCAATATCTGAGTACCGGCGATTGTTGCGGCTTTTCGTCCCGCACGGCAAAGTATGCAAAAAGCACCGCTGCGGTGTAACTCGCAATGAAGATAAACAAGTGCCAGAGCGCGTGGAGGTAAGGAAAATTCAGATTCAGCCACGTGTCGCAGAACAGACGATCGTTCAACCAACAAACCACCGCGAGAATCCACACAGCGCCACATCGCAATCCCAGTCTGTATACTCTCATCGACGTGGTCCTTTATTTAAACATTTTTATGAATTTCACGTACGTGATCTTTATAATAGACACACACACAATTTCTTATACGCATAAAAAAATAAGTTACCTCTTCAGTTCTATGATTAAGAATCCAAACGCCGGTATGCCCAGACTCATTAACGCAAAAGCATTTACAGCCGGATGTATCAAGGCCAGGCCGGTGGCAACCAGGGTCGGTAACGTTGCGCATATGGATAACAACTTTCTGTTGTTGTGAAATATGTTTGGAAAATATCTTCGCGGAAAGAACATACAAAAGCCTGCCATGTACACCCACAGAATGGCCAATTCGTCCAATAGTTGACCTATTGTTGTTAAAATCATTCGTAATGTGACATTTTTCAATTCAAATATGGATTAATTTCGTTTTGGTCATGCAATTATTATTTCTTCCACTTAAGAGAACCTGTGAGTGAGATTCTTACCTATTAGTGACAAAGTAGCGTGAAAATACGCACTGCTAAGTCCAACTATCATTAGTAAGAACCAAATTATGTGAATCCCCGGATTCACAAAGCGTCCATAATCTCTAAACAAGTGCATCAGAACGGGTGGAAGCAACAGGAAGACCACATTACTGAACTAAAAACAGAAACATGAAACTTATATAAATTATATTATTTTAATTATATTATAAGTTGAAGAAAAGGCAGCACGAGCAATATACTAGGTGTTGATGTATTGTCTTTATTGATTAATATGAAATCACAAACGTGATTCGACCTGTCTTTTAGATCTTCATCAGTGTATCAATGGCCACGTTCAGCAGACTGAGCAGATCAGTGATCGCTTGGTGATTCTTTAATATGATTGAATCTTGCCTTTAAATCTTCAATGGATCTAAGTGTAGAAACCAATCATATTGAAGAATCACTAAGCGCTCACTGATCTGCTCAGTCTGCTGAACATGGTCAATAACAAATGTATGAACAGAAGCCATGTCACCATCTTGAGAAACTGTCGTGTAATGTGCGGTTGTTTGTTATAACCGGATAAAATGACAAACAGTGATATGATTAGTGATGATTATATTATTTTCTTCCTATATTCTCCTTATCTGTTATAATCATTTATTTAATCAGTTTATTCATTTGCTTCAATTTTATTAAAATACACATATATGCAAGACTATTTTTACATTTGTTATAGATATTTATTATAGATATAAAAAGATAAAATACTTCATGATATATACAATTAGAGTTACAAAGAATCTGAATCCTAAATCGCAAATAGATTATACAAATTAATAGTTCGCTCGTGAAATTGTCAATTAAGATGAAACAGGCCGATACGAGCAATAATTACAAGATGGTCGTGTATAAGTATTGTATTTATTTCAATGTCACAAACGTTTCGATCCTAAGGATTGGACCTTCTTCAGTGTGAATAATACAAAGTGATCTAGTTTTTAGATACAGTTTTTTTTATTACAGATTTTTTTTAGATACAGTTTTTGAATACTAAGTTTATAACATCTCTGCTGTGTTTTGAGATGCTGTGCGACTCTCGTGTTTTCTATTTTTAATTCTATTTTACTAGATCACTTTGTATTAATTCACACTGAAGAAGGTCCAATCCTTAGGATCTCGAAACGTTTGTGACATTAAAATAAATACAATACTTATACACGACCATCTTGTAATTATTGCTCTTATCGGCCTGTTTCATCTTAATAGATTATACAAAGCTTTCTTAAGAATGACCTTTAATCCAGAAGTTATTGCTGTATGACTCATTTGTTCTTTGTCTAGTTCACAAGAGTGAAAAATAAAGCAACGTATACATCCAGGAAGTAACAGGCACACTTTCACTTATATAGATTCTCTGTTAAGTTTAATAATCTCTTAGCAAAACTGTTGAGAATTGCCATTTTTATACTATCATCAAATATCTTTGTGTTTATTTTTAACTACAAATCTGTTCAAACAAAGAGACTGTTTGAAAACTTGAAAGTTTTAATATTTTAAAAGAGATTTTAGTATGTTTTTATTTATATAAAATTGATATTCTTATCTTTAATCAATTCTTACTCAAACTTGTAGTTCAATATTTTTTATTTAAAAAAAAACTAAAGTTTTGATCAAAGAAACATTAAAAAAAAAAAAAAAAAAAAAAAAAA